GCAACATTTAAATACGGGGTATCTATTATATACGGAGTAGTTTTTAGTAAAAAATTTAAAAATATAGTTTTTTAAAGAAGCTATTACGATATTTAAATATAATACTATAATTTTGTTATATGTACTACTATAATATTAATTAATGTTTTAAATAAAAAAGTTTATATAATTTAATTTTTAAGGATCTTTTAATTTCTTTGTCTCGTCCAAGGCCGGATGTTTAGTTTTCCTGCATAATGCTGGTGATGTTAGCAAACAACTTCTCAATAATTAAGTCACAATCACTAGTACTTATTGTGCCTAGCTAGACGTGTAGGACAACGTACTCAAATATAGGTGGATATATGCTTAAAAAATAAAAACAAGCAAATACACTTTGGTTGTTGAAAAAAAAAAGATGCAAAAAGGAGAGGGGCATTTACATCGGTTATATGGAATAAGCGAGGTAAAAAAAAGTAATTACGTCATTTATTCATATAACCGATGCAAATGATTTGATCTATTCCATCGGTTATTTCCTACTCGGTCTCCGCTTGTCCCTCTTCCTTTCTTTATTGACTTTTCGCAGGTCTACTCTCCGTTTGTCCCTCTTTCCTTTCCTTCGAGAGTCGGGACTTGAACAGCATGGTCTTTTTTATTTATTTATCCCAGGATACATGTATAATATGCGGTGTAATTTTTACTACCCGGAGTGTTTAGATATAGTGATCAGAGTTTGTCTAATTTGACTGCAAATAGTTAAACTAGACAAATACATTGTGACGGAAATTACAATATTAAGCAGAAAGAAAAAAAAAGTAAAACTTCAAGATTAGAAATTATAAAGTCTTTGACAAAAATCATAAAGTCCGGAAAAAAACATATATTCCGTCGTTAAAGTCCTTGGCAAAAAGGTAAAAAAATCATAAAGTCCCGAAAATAGATCAAGGAATCTATTTATTCAATTTGAATTATAATGTTTAAGGGAAGTTATCTTTAATCAAAGTTATTTTAATACTCAGCTCCCTCCGTTCCACAAACTCTTCCTCTTTTGTTTTTTTGCTTTCCACAAAGCACTTCCTCTTTCTATTAAAAAAGTGATATGACTATAATATAATATGAAATATGTATCAAAAAAATGAATGAAAATGTTTTTTATATCAATAAAAAAATTTAAATAGCGGGAAGGAGCATTTCTTTTACTCCCTCCGTCAAACAATAAAATTCACATTCACTATTCACGTGTTTAAACTTTATTCACTTTGTTAGCCTATATTTGTGTCATGTTTGATAAAATATTATAGTCACGTTACTTCAAATTTTGTAGATCTTTCATATAGTTTTTAAATATGTAATTTTTTTTTAATTCCATACCATTTTTCATATAAAATCATTTGAAAATAATTTAAGCCAAATATCATTACGCGCAATGAGAATTTTATTTATGGATGAATGGAGTATAAAAGCCGGCGCGGGCTGCTTCATTAGTTCATCGCTTCATTATTAGTATGTATTATTAGGGAGTATTTTTACAGTAATAAGCATGGAGGCTTCTTTTGCGACGACCCTCTTCCTCCCTTTTTTCATTTTAACCCTAACCCTAATCCACAGACTGTGGAAGAAGGAGGAGGAAGAAGCAACCGCCAGCAACAAACTACTACCGCCGGGGCCGTGGAGGATACCGGTCATCGGAAACTTGCATCAAGTGGGGATGTCACTCATCTCCATGCCAGCTCACCGCGTCCTGGGCGAGCTGGCAAAGAAACACCCCTCCTGTCCCCCGGGGCTCACGCGCCTCCGGGTCGGAGAAATCCCTTTGGCGGTCGTCTCGTCTCCGGAAATGGCGAGAGAGTTCCTTAGAACTCACGACTCCGCCTTCGCCACCAGGCCGGAGTACGTGAGTGGGAAAACCATCTTTTACGGCCGTTCCGACGTCGGGTTTTGCCCCTACGGGGATCACTGGAGACAGATGCGGAGATTATGTATCGCGGCGCTTCGCCTCAACTCTGGTGCCATCCGGTCCGTACGGCGCGACGAGATCCGCCGTCTTTTGTTGGACGTCCGTTCATCTTCCGGCCAGCCGCTTAATCTATCCGACAGAATCTTGTTACTTACCACCTCCATTTTATGCAGATCCGCACTAGGTAATATACATTCTCTCACTATTTGTCCCATTTGATTTTTAGAGTAAAAAAAGGACGACTTTGTAAGAAGTATTACGAAGTACTCCCTCTGTCCACCTATATCTTCTCAGACACTAATTATAGGGTCAAACTTTACTCACTTTATTTACTCAATTTTACTAGTCATTTCATAAAATAATATAGTCTTGTCACCTCTAGTTTTATTGAACTTTTCATGTAGTTTATTACTATATAAATTTTATTTTAAAATTTTACTCCTATAATCAATTAAATTGAATTGAAAATAAAGTCGGTCAAGCCTCGTAACGCGTAATGGGAAGATCATACATGGACGGAGGGAGTATTAGATATTAATACATTTTTTATTGGTTGGGGGAGTGCCGGGGAGGGGCAAGACTTTGGCTTTGTTTGGATGTTGGCTATCAGCTGTTGGCAGTTCGTGTCAGCTGTTGTGAATGACTGTTTAGTTTAGCTGGTTTGACCGGCAAGATGAATTGACTGATCGTTAAAAATGTTTGGTAATCTAAATTGTCATCAATTACTTATACCCCAGTTTACCCAATTAGTTAACTATAAATGTCTTTACCCAATTAGTTACACACTACGATCCGTCTATATATCTCATAACTGCACTCCATATGGAAGTAGTTAGCCGCTGGTCAGAGTATTGAAGCTTTCCAGCAACCTTAGCCTCTGTACTACGTACGTACCACCAAACGCGCCTACGGTTATGGGTTCGTACACGTTGCATTGGCTCAGTGATTAGTACCCCTCCGTCATAAAACTTTCTTCCCGTTGCGCAAAACGAAGAAAAATACCAAGTTTTTTCAATCTATTTTATTTAAATATTGGTATAGAAATAAAAAATAAAACATACATATTTAAAAACTACATCAAAAGTTCAACAAAACAAGTGGTGACAAAAATATTTTATTTTACCATATAGGCCATGAAAAAACACAAATTAATATAAATTCCCGTGAAGTTGGAATAGTGCTCTGGGAAGAAAATTTTAGGACGGAGGGAGTAATTAGTATAGTACATGTGATGGGAGCCCTACCCAGTCGGTCTATATAGTGAATTAAAAAAAAGGATGATACCACATCCTCGAGGGCCCTCAGCACCGACCGCACAATCAGTTGAGAGGAAGTAAATTGAGCTATAATAACAGTCAGTTGGCAAAAGGGTGGAGTTCTGTGTCTGGTACTTGTAGAAGCCCCATGCTTTACATAATTGCATCTCATCGCAACCACCTGGCTTCGAACTCGAGATCTCTCCATAGTAGCACTCCTGTAGCATGAATTGAAAGAGACGTACTTTCTCCATCTCCAGCAAAGATCTTCTCATTACGCGTTACAAGATTTGATTAACTTTATTTTCAATTTAATTTATTTGATTGTAGAGAAAAAAATAAAATAAAATTTATATTGTAAAAATGTACATGAAAAGTTCTAGAAAAATTAGAAGTGACATGACTAAAATATTACTTTATGAAATAAGTAATAAAATTAAGTAAACAAAAGGAATTAAGTTTGACCATGTGGATAGTAGCTCGAAATATCTAGAGTACATTAGTTCGTCACACAACACTAGCTCGAGAGCACATGCCTATAGTGTAGTATGATAATAATAATAATACACATAGGGGATTATAATATTATTATTACTACTATTAAACGAGGTACCGTTGGTACCTCGATAGAATTGTTGCAAGAATAAACCCCTCATATGTATATACTCCGTACAATATTATACTACAGGTAATTCATTCACTGGAAGAAAAGAGTTAATGGTGCTAGTGAAGAACATATTTGAGTTGGTGGGACAATTGGATTTTGTGGATGTGTTTCCCTCGTGGAAAATTCTTGGCCTCCTGTTTGGGAACAAGAGGAGGATGATGAGAGTTCATAGCCAGACAGACAGAATCATGAAAAACATCATAAGACAACGCAGGAAAAGAATGGAAGAAAGCAATAATGATTGTGAGGTTATTGAAGATGAATACCATGTTGATGTCCTCTTGAGATTGATGCATTATCAGACCCTTCAAGTACCCATCACCCATGACAACATCAAAGCCCTAATCCTCGTACGTACGGAGTACTATTTTTCCCTTCTCCCTCGTTTTCTTTTTTAAGTTGGTGATTAATTACATAGAACCTAGATACGATTCTAGGATTTTCCAAGTATATGACTTTAGATAGGACTGTTTGGAAATCTGGATTAGAGTGTCCGACTAGACCTCCAAGCCTTAGTTTGTAATTTATGATGATTTGTTATTTATTCTCAAGTGTGTTTTGTGTTTGTGCTCTTGCTTAGTTCATGTTAAGTGTGTTTGTTATTTATTTGTTGCCTTGAAATTCTATTTCTCATCAATTCTTTTTTTTTTTTAAGAATAAATTGTACACATATTGTTCATAATATCTTGTTAAACAAATTGAGAGATGTGCACTCTTTTATGGAGCAGGATATGTTCATTGGAGGAAGTGAGACATCATCAATAATAGTTGTATGGGCCATGTCAGAAATGATGAAGAACCCTAAGGTTTTGGGGAGAGCACAAATGGAGGTGAGAGAAGCCTTTAGATTTTCAGGAAAAGATGAAGAAGATGGAGTCCTTGAAGAAAAAGAGATTGGAAAGAGGTTACCATACTTAAACTCGGTGGTGAAAGAGACTCTGAGGTGCCATCCCCCCACTCCCTTGTTGCTTCCTCGAGAGTGCATGGAAGAAACCATGGTTAGCGGAGGGTACACCATACCGCGGGGAACCCAAGTGCTGGTTAACGTGTGGGCCATAGCTAGGGATCCCTGCTATTGGGTGGATCCGGAGAGCTTCGTCCCTGAGAGATTTGAAAAAAAATCCATTAGTTTCATGGGAAATAGTTTTGAGTTCTTACCTTTTGGTTCTGGAAGGAGGACATGTCCCGGGATTGAAGCCGGTTTGGCCAATGCTCAATCTGCATTAGCCCACTTACTCTTCCACTTTGATTGGGAGTTCCCTCCTGGAATCACTATTGATTCTTTTGATCTTACAGAGAAGCCTGGAATTGCTGTTGGAAAAAAGAATCGGCTTTTCTTGATTCCAACCCCTCGTGTTGTTGCTTAAATGATAAGTTTATCAAGCCTCACTGACCATTTCTGTCAAGTACGAATGCTCTCGACTTTTAGATCAGCTGACTGAGTTGAAAAGGTAAAGAAATCTAACGGTCGAGAGCATCTTCACTTGGTCATACACCTGCTTGAGATTTTACACACACAAAACACACACATGCAATTGCTTTACAAAAAGCCGTCCGTTTGCTGTAAGGATGCGATGCACTAGAATCATTCTATGTAAGATGAGAGTGGATGGAGAATATACAGTTTGCGTTGAAAACAAATGAACAATGTGTTTTTCATGAGTTCTCTATTTTCTTGTACAAATCATTAAGTGCATAGTACAAGATAGCGGCTGCAGGGGGGCGGGGCATGGATCCCAGAAGAACGGTTGATGCAGTGATTGATGGATCGCCATAAAATCTTGAATTTTCTCGTGTGCGGGTTGTCACCATACTCCCTTCAAGAGAGCATCCCACAAATGCTCCTACAACCACATTGATATAATATTATGATCTCTTGTTTCCTTCACAAGTGGCATAAAAAATATAGGGAAAATGAAACTTTTATCCCTGAGTTACATCTAGGGTACACTTTTAGGAGTGTTTCTGGCTTTCTGCCATGGACCTTAAGTCCTTATAACAATGCACAGGCATTCTCACACAAGCAAATTAATAAAATTAAATAAATGTTTCTTTAAAATTATGAAAATGCTTGTGTATCTATTAAGAAGGTTCATGAATTCTTAGGTGAACCTAAAAATTTATCCACATTTAGTCCTCGAATAACTAATGTCAACATTCTGGTCCTCGGGTTCTTCCCAAGTGTCCGAGTAGGGGCAATGTCTGCCCTCTACGGACCCTATGCTTTGTGGAATTTTACTGGGTTTTTTGTTGTTATTGGGTTCTCCCAAAGTGGCTATTTTAGTCCTCCCCAACTATGGTTTTGAAGACAAAAAAGGCCACTTCAAGGACTATTAAGTAGAATAGGGTATAACTCAAACACTAAAAGATGAGTGTGAAAAGCGGTGTGTATATATACCTTTACTGAAGCTGTAGGTATAGCAGGGTGCACAACCACCGTCACCGGCACGAAGACCAGCTTCAGCGGCCCTTCCGGCAATGCCTACTGCGGCACTCAAACCTGCACCAAGAGATATGTGACCTTTCCCACTAAAAGTCCTCACTGCACTTTGGGTTCTCAACACAATTATGAAATCTGTCACTTC